TTTACGTGCATGCTGTGTCGGATGTACTGTTTTGGAGAGTACTGTGTCACGTATTATATTCTTATATTCAAATTAAAACACCTAGGTCCTTAATGCAACTGGTGCGTGTAATAGCAGTACGACAAAGCTGATACCCATAGAGCAGGACATTAGTCTTCCTTGAGTATGACATAACACGCGTTTTATTGATATTAATACTCATGGAGTTGGCAGAGCACCAGTCACTGACATGATGAATGTCATTTTGAAGTAAGAGGCAATCCTGTGGAGTGTCTATAATGCGAAAAATTTTGAGATCATCAGCAAAGATTAGAAAATGAGAGTGACTTATTGAGTTACAGAGGTCATTAATGAATACATTAAAAAGAAGGGGCCCCAGGACAGAGCCTTGCGGCATACCGGAAGTTACTCTAAGAGGCTGGGAGAGAGCATCAGACACACAGGCCCGAGATCTCCTGTTAGCTAGGTAACTGCCGAGCCAGTTAAGGTATCCATCAGAAAATCCAAGGGAGCTGAGCTTATGCACGAGCAAAGTATGGGGCACAAGGTCAAAGGCACTAGAAGAATCAAAATAGACAGCATCAGCCTGATGCTGACTGCAGACAACAGGGGTCATAATATCTAAGAAGGATACCAGGTTAGTGGCTGTGGATTTGGATTTGGTGAAGCCATGCTGGTTGGGATGATGTTTAATATAATGCGAAATATGATCGTGAATAATGAATTCAAGGAGATTAGAGAAGTTGTTGAGAAAGGTAATGGGTCTGTAGTTACTCACACAGGCAGGATTGCCTCTTTTGAATACAGGCACAATAGTCACTTCCTTCCATGCATTAAGGAATAGCTGCTGAGACAGGCTCAAATTGAATATATGCCTAAGTACAGGAATAAAAATTGCCGAACAGCCTTTTATGACAAACTCCGGGATATCATCAGGTCCGACAGATTTAGAAGGTTTTAGTCTCTTAATGGCCTTGTAGACATCCGCATCAGAAATAGGTGCAAGAGACAGGAATTCAATAGGTTGCGAAAGAGGGGGAAGGTCTATAGGACAATGGGTATTATAAAGGGATTGAAAATGTTTGGCAAAGGTATCAGCCACTGCAGTAGGTTCATCTAAGTGTACACCATCAACTTGAAGCTGAATGCAACCTAAAGTATGTTTCCTGAAAGAAGACATGTATTTCCAGAGATGCTGAGGTTGTGATTTCAGGTCGTTATCTATTGACTTCAGCCATCGAAGCCTGTCGGTTTTGAAAGTGCTTTTAACAAGCTTACGATAGAAAATGAATTTGTCATAATAGTAATCTGTTTCTTTCTTTTTAAAGCGAAGGTGAAAGTAATTTTTCTTACCAATGTAGTACCTTAAGGAACTAGAGTACCAGAAAGGGAATTTAGATTTGCGAGTAGGGCAACGAGGAATTTCCTCTTCCATGGCAGCTTGAACAGTAGCATTTATCCTGGCAACTGCATCATCAGCAGAAGTAGCTCCATATACTCCTGACCAATCACACGCAGATAGGGTGTTGTAAAGCAGAGTATAATTGCCGGCGGCGAATTTTCGATGGCTGAACTTATAATTAGGATTATAGGTAATACGTGGAAGGTGGACATCAATAATTAAGGGCGGGTGATATGGATCAGGCTTGACCAAATCAGAGTAAGAAGGACCAGGCTTTAGATTGGTGAGATTAGAGAAGACTAAGTCAAGTAAGTTATAGTTGTCAACAGCTACAGCATACTGCCGAAGGCCAAGGAGACATGCGGAGGTGTATGTAGCATCCCCCTTAAGTTTAGCGTAGTAGTGACCGTTGGGCAGAGGTGACCCACGCACCCAGTTAAAACCAGGAACATTGAAGTCTCCTAATAAAACAACACGAAAGCTATTGGTGTCAAGCATGTTTTCAAGAGGGTGAAAATAATCAATAATGACTCCAGGTGGAGTGTCAGGAGAGAAATAGTGGTTGCCAATAAGCAAGCTGTGGCTGTCAACTGTGGGAATCTCGACCCATACACATTCAGAGCAGAGTTCTAAGTCATACCTGCGCCTGCAGGAACCCAGGCTGGAGATTAAATTAAATAACTTATATAAAAACAAAGTCACAATTTCATATAATCACTTAAATTACTGATTAGGGGTCGTCTGGCACCACACACATTCAAAACCAGTTCTATGTTAAATGTTCATACAAGCTAGAGAGGTGTAACAGCCTCTTCAATACATGTTTAAAATTGTACCATCAGCAGCCATCTTTGTTATGATTATCAGTTAATGACAAACAAATCTGGATTATTAAAATTTGATTCTAAATTTGTAGATCACATTAGTAAGATTAAATAAAATATGAGCCATAATAATTTTAAATAGGACAGCTGCATATATAAATTGAAAATATATTACAAATAATAACCATTAGCTCTGTTATAATTTATGTATTATGACAGTTATGCTGATAATATTCCTTCATATGCATATATGAACTAAGAGTATATTACAAATAATTACTGAACTAGCTCTGTTATAATTTACATAGTATTACTAATTATGTGAATAGTATTCCTTCATAGAGTAAAAGGAGTGACAAAGTAAAAGTGCTGCTCTAAAGTTTAGCGGATCAGAAGCCAAAATTTTTATATTGCTTGAGGTAGATGATTAAAGGCTTTAATGCCTGCTACATACGCACCTTTCCTGTATTTTGATAGGTTGACAGTAGGAAGTAAAGATTATTTAGGGATCTAGTTTTATATTTGTGAATCTCATTAACAGAATTAAGAAGATGTTTATTATTAATTGTAAATAAAATTAATTAGTATATGAACTGAGAATAAAATGTCATTATCTCCAGGTTCTTGATTAAATCCCTGCAAGACTCATTTGGACCAGAATTCATAATAATTCTAATAGCCCTCATTTGCAATATAGAAACATTATTAGTGCAGGAAAAGCTTCCCCAAAAAATTATACCATAGCTGAAGATAGAATGAATGTGGGCAAAATAAATTAACTTTAATGTATCTGGAGGGATAAAGTATTTTATATTTCTCAATGCATAACATGCACTGGAAATGTTATTGATAACATAATATGCTGTTTCCATGTGAGAGTATCATCAGTGATTAAGCCTAAAAATTTTGTATCCATCACATTTGTTAAATTAGTCATCATAAGTAATTTGTGTGGTAATATTATAATTATTCGTGGAATGAAATTCAACATATTGAGATTTATTAAAATTCAGAGTGAGCAAATTAGCATTAAAACATAAATTAATATCTTTAAAAGTCTGATTAAAGTTCATATCAAAGTCTAATTTGTTCGTGCCAGTTACTATAATATTGGTGTCATCTGCAAATAATACCGTGTAATAATTTTTATTAATTATTTTTGGTAAGTCATTTATATAAAACAGAAAAAACAGCAGGCCAAGGATCAAGCCTTGAGGAACACTGCATCTGATTAATTCCCAGTCACGAGAGTTGCTACAATCAATTCTGTTCCCTATTACAACTCTTTGATATCTACCTGACAAGAAAGATTCAGTGAGTGATTTAAATTTCCCATCTATTCCATGGAATATTAATTTTTCCAATAATGTTTTGTGATTAACACAGTCAAATGCTTTCTGTAAATCACAGAAAATGCCTCCCACCAATCTGCAAATATAGAATGAATACCTTTATCCTGTTTTGATATCCCTTTGTCCTCATTTATTATTTCCCAGATACTTTTCATTTTATCATTGGAATTGAAAATAATTTTATTATAATATGATTTCTTTGCCTCTATGATCATTCTTGATAATACTTTGCAATATTGATGGTAGTATATTTTAAGATCTAAATCATCACAGTGCCTGCTTTGCAGAAATAGTTCTCTTTTGCTTTTACATGAAATTATTATCCCTATAGTAATCCAATTGTTATTAATCGTATTATGCTTGACTTATTTTTTTGGAAAGCAAGCATAAAAACATCTTAAATACGTATCATGAAAGTTGTTGAGCATAACATTGACATTATTATTCCCAAAGATGTCCCATTGTTCCCAACTTAGTAACTTTTTAAATTCCTCAATATTATTCTTATTGTTGCGTTTCAGTAGTGTGTTTTATTTGTCATACAACACAAACTATGTTTCTTTTGGAAAATGAATTAGTTCACAAATTTATGGTACCCAATCCAGAGGTCCTGGGTTCGATTCCCAGCACCAGATTTTCTCAGAAGTAGTGGGTCTGGAATGGGGTCCACTCAGCCTCATGAGGATAATTGAGGAGCTATTTCAAGGAAATAGCGGCTCCAGTCTTGAAAACCAAGTTCAACAGCCATGGGGATCCATTGCATTGACCACGTGACACCCTCTATCCGCAAAAGTTTGCACTAACTTCACTGACAAGCAGTGGTCGCTCGGTCAGTATAGTTCGCTTGTGAAATACAGACCACGGAGTTTGTTTTGTTTTCTGTTGTACTGTACAGTATAAATTATTAGTTTTGGTAAAGGAAGAGAAAACATTACTTGGATCAGTCTTGGTATTCTGCAGAATTCCAAAGAATGATATTACTGCCTAGCTAGATAATGCTGAGATAAAGTGACAGTCAATAAATAATCAAGGTCTTCATTTTATACTTTTCTTCAAATGGGCAAGCATTGTATAAAATGCCTGACTGTTATATTGAATACCACCAATGTCATACTTTGTGTAATATAAACATATTCTCACAGTAATGTGTATGAAGAGTTGTGTTTTCTGCGATGTGACGCTGTGTATTCCTGTAAAATTCACCAGACAACAAAGCATATCTCAGAATACAGAACTCTTCAGATAAATATAAATACTAGTTCCTTCATCGCAAGTTCTTTTGTTTTGTATCTAAATTCTGTTAAGGAAATTACTATTTTTTGCATGTTGCTTCAGGTATTTGAGAGGGTGTTTGAACACACAAACTTCCCTTCCAAACACATCTACGTTAACATTATACAAAGTTGAAGTTGTGTGTTTCAGGTATCTTTCCAGGGTTACATACATTCCGTCAACATGTGATAGATGAGTGTCAGAAGCAAGGCTACCTCTGCACTGTTGGTGGGAGACGACGACTTTTCCCAAGTATTTGCAGTTCCAGTTTCATAGTTCGGGCTCATACGGAAAGACAAGCCGTTAATTTTGTTATTCAAGGTACACTAATTTCGTACTTCATTCAGTACCTCCAAAAAGAGTTTAATTTTTGTGTTTACCCTGATTTTGGATAATAGATATTTGTAGAAGTGGGCTGTATTTCTGTTGTTATGGTGATCTGTGCTGTTTTCATCTTCAAAATGAAGTGACTACTCTGTTGTCCTTGCCAGTACTTACAGTACCCATCCACTGCAGGGTGTCAAGTGGTATCCAATAGAAATGTAACAGAAAGGTAGCTCTTATAGAGGCTGATCTTATTGAGACTGGGAACACTGTTAAAACAGTTGGAATATTTTAGAAAAGCTTTGTGAGAAGTGTGATCATGTGGGGACAAGAGTATGAAAAGTAGTAAGAAGAAGATTAGCCTTAAAAAAGAGAGATGTATCAAGTTTGGTGTGGTGCTGTAGATATCTTGGACTGTTATGGGATGCCGTATTCTAATAGGTTAAGATATTGTCTCCATTCTTTTAGCATATGAAAGATGGTCTTCCATGTTTTTTTGGTCTTATAAAATTCTGTTTATTTAGAGGTCCATAATGCAGTTACATGCACAGTATTTATTATTGTTATTTATTTGCATTGCAGTTTCCTAGTTATACATTTTATTTTGTCATCATCAAGTGAGTTATTGATCACATCACCAACTTCACAAAATATGATGGGTATTTTACCACATACTCATTATTCTTTGTTCACAGTATCTTTAGTCCACTTTGTAGTTTACATTTAAGCTGGCTACTGATACTGGTGTTTGGTTCAAGTCAAAGTTGGTACCCATGGAATGACGGTTTGTGGTCTTTCTGTCACGAAATTTTAAACATTGCAAATGTCCTGCTTTGGTCAATTGCAACCCTAGTTTCTTCTAGACCCCTGACAAGAGGAAGCTGCTGTTGTCCTTAGCTCTGCCTTAGGCTTGCTGTAATTTGAGAAAAGAGCATTAAGCAGTTGTGTTTCAGGAAAGGCACACAAAATTTCATTAGGAAATCTAAACAGAAGAGGTCCCACGGAAGACCTTGGCATGGGTGGAAAGGTAACATTAACTCTTTGACTGGTGGGGGCACGTTTCAACGCCCGGATGATGCCAGCCATTCCCTGGCATTGGCGTGTTTTAGCGCTTTGATAAACTCTTCCCTTCTTTGCTCTCTTGGCATTCATCAACCAAACACATATATATGATAGTTTTTGTGCATGGTTGTAAAGAACCCTTGTTAATTTTGTGGGGATCTATATTGCTGTCAGAACCCTCCGAGAAGGAAAAGGTCAGAAAATATATCACATTCATTCAGTTTCACCATGGCTTCTCACAGCAAGTGTCGGAGTGTTCCTACAGACCAGCTGGAAAGTGCTGTGAACGAGATTTGTGCTGATGATGATAGTGGCGATGAAATAATAATTCCTGAATTAGATGAAGTTGATAGTGACAATAATGCAGTGATAGACAATGATCCACAAGACAGTAATCATGAACAGTTACCTACCACGAGTGCAGTGCCTGACACGCCCATCTCATGGACGTACGGAGACATTGTACCAACAATAGTTCCATTTACTAGTAGTTCCGGGATCAAAATTGATATAACACATAAAATGCACTCCTTTTCATGGATTAAAATTTTTCTGGATGACGACTTAGTAAATCACATCACAACTGAAACCAATCACTATGCTTAAGAGCACTTCAACACACATGAGTTAGCTCCTCACCCTCGAGAACACAATTACAAATATGTCACACCAGATGAAATCTGGACATACTTAGGAATTATGTTCATGACAGGAATCTACAAACGCCCTGAAATTGAAGAATATTGGTCCACTAGGCCCCTATTTCACGCTCCATGGTATAGACAAAAGATGTCTTTGCGGCAGTTCCAACAGATTTCAAAATTTCTTCATTTTGCTGACGATGCACGGCCAGCTGACTGTGAAGAACACCTGTATAAAGTTAGGCCAATTATAGACTCATTAGTGGGGAAATTTAGAAACACATATATCCCTGAAAAGGAAATTGCAATAGATGAAGGAATGATCGCTTGGAAAGGACGTCTTATCTTCCGAGTGTATATGCCTGATAAACCTGATAAGTGCGGTATAAAGGCTTATCTTGTTTGTGCATCGACAAGTGGATATATTTGGAATTTTGAAGTTTATTGCGAAAAATCAAGACCTATAAAGGAATTAGTTGTCGATCTGTTGGGGCCACAGCTTCTAGATAAAGGGTATCATCTCTACCAGGATAACTATTACAATAGTGTAGAATTGTGTGAGACGTTATTACAGAGAAATACCCATGTGTGTGGAACCTTCAGAATGGACAGAGGAGCCCCTAAAAAACTGAAGGATGACGAAAAAATTTGAAAAAAGGGGAATCTGTGTTTTCTAGGAAGGGGCAGGTTCTCATACAGGTGTGGAGAGATAAAAGAGACGTCAAACTTATCTCCACTCTTCACACAGCAAAAATCGTGGAATCTGCAAAAACGAATCGCAAAGGAGAAAAAATATGCAGACGCAAGGTAATTGGGTACTACAATAAACATATGAGAGGGGTTGACAGTGCTGATCAAATGCTCCATTATTATCCTTGATCCCGCAAAACTGTAAAGTGGACAAAGAAACTGGTGTTTTTCTTGTTGCAAATGACAGCGTTGAATAGTTTCATTCTATTGAAAGGAACACAACAAACGAAAAATACAAGAAGAGAAATTACAAATTCAAAGATTTTATATTGGACTGTGTAGGAAAAATGACTGAACCAAACAAACAGTGTGGAGAGGGAGAAGAGTCAAAGAATGAAGTGGATGACGAATCTATTGCTTCAGACTCGAGTGCAGTCACGCCTCCGCCCGTGACCTTGAAAAGACCACCAGTGAAAGACCCAGCAAATCGTCTAGAGGGAGGCCTGAAAATACATAAAATGGTCCATATTCCTCCCAGTAACAAGAAGAAGAATGGTGCCATGAGAAAGTGTCACGTGTTTGCTAATCACAAGATTAGAAAAGAAACAAGTGTCATGTGTGCAAGCTGTGGTGTGGCTCTCGGCAAACTTTCATGTTTCAATGTTTATCACACGAAGAAAAACTACTAAAAAGGTAAAATATTGTCTTTTTATTAGTTCTGAAAATTTCGTTTTTAAAAACCAATTTTTGTTGGAAAAAAGTAAACACATGCATTTTAGCGACTTATGGCTTAAAGGGCTTCCCAGGACAGGGGTGGGATTTAAATACCCTTTGCGCCAGTCAGAGAGTTAAGCTGGATCTTGGAGAAAAAGTTTACGGTACAGTCCAGTGGCAGGCTCTTGTGAACATAAGTGGTCTTTTCAAAAATTTTCTGAACTATTTTTTTGTAATTTTTTGGACATGCCTGCAAATAAATGAGCCTTATCACCTTCAAAGTACTCCCCTCCTACATTGATGCACCACTCCCAACACTGTTGCCACTTGGAAACAGTTCTGGTACACCTTTCTCTGGATCACACTTAGCTCCATCCGCAAATTTTCTGTAATCTCTTGAATTGTCTGAAATTGTCCTTTCAAAGTGGATTTTAGTTTGGGAAATAAGAAAAAGTCTACCAGAGCCAGCCCAGGTGAGTAGAATGGCTGATGAAGTACAGTTGTGTTTGTGTTGGCCAAAAAGTCACAAATCGGTAGCGACGCATGAGCTGGTGCATTGTCATGATGGAGGAACCAGGAGTTGTTTCTCCAAAACTGAGTTCTTTTTCTCCTGACATTTTCTCTTAGAACTTTCAGCACTTCAAGGTAATACCAGCAATTCACTGTTTGCCCCTGACATAAGAATTCATGATGCACAACATCCTTGATGTCAAAAAAGAACTGTCAACATGACTTTCTCAGTTGACCTAACCTGCCACACCTTTTTCAGTCTTGGCAAATTTTTTCCAACACATTGTGAAAACTGCATGTTCATTTCCGTATTGTATCCATAAACTCATATTTCATCGCTCATTATAATTCTTTTCAGAAGTCAGAAGTTATGGGATAAACTTTGAAATTACCGAATGCATTTCTGATTTTGTCATAAGAATGTCATGACATGATGCTATTGATATGTTGCACTCTTCTGCTATTCCCCACACTGTCAAACAATGATTATAATGCATGATTTCACGAACTTGCACAACATGAGTGTCATCACTTGACGTTGAGGGCTGTCCCAAACACGGCATTCATGTGTTGACTGCCAACCACCTTTAAATCACTTAAACCATTCATAACAATGGCTACAGCTCATGCACTAATCACCATAAACGTTTCTTATCATTTCATGGGTCTCTGTAAACATTTTCCCTATTTTGAAGCAAAACATAATGTTAATATGCTGTTCATGAATATCAGCCTGCTCGAATATCGCAAGACACACAATACATGCATGTGAACAAATAACTCTCGGGCGATGGCTCATCACAGCAGGATGATAATAGGAAACATGCCATTAGGCAGCATAACTACCTGACATTGCTAAGACGTCGAATTTGTGTGCTATTTCATAAGTTCCGAAACTTTTTGAACAGACCACATAGTCTTAATAGTTTGCATCCTGTTGTGTGACTCACATAAGATATAAAGCAAAGAAGAATATACCATTAACACAACAACACTCTGTATTTTAAAACAAAGAAGACACTACTGTATCAACATTTGTTTTATTAAAGCGTTTATGGATGCGACATGTTTCAGCCTCTATATAGCCACTTCCACTGGCAAATATAAGTCAGCGCATAGTGGTCGCAGAGTCCTACCATTAATACACAATTTTTAACTTTGAATTTTTATCGTCTTAATCTTCAGCATCTGGTTTTTAATTCCTATGTTTTTAACTTTACCTTTTTTTAGGTTATAATTTTAATTGTATTATTTAAGTACATTCAGTTAACATTTCAACCAAGACTCATTTTATATATATTTATGTATTTGAATTAAGTCCAAAAACATAATAAGGACCCTTATTTAGTGAACTGAATGATAATTGGATGCAGTTCAGCAGCTTAAAGCCGAACACTGTATGCCTAATGATGGCCTGATATAGAGGCCAAAACATGTCACATCCATAAAAGCTTTAATAAAACAATGTTGATACAGTAGTGTCTTCTTTGTTGTAAAATACAGAGTGTTGTTATGTAGACGGTATATTCTTGTATGCTTTATATCTTACTTAAGACCACATGGTAATGAATGTTTAGGATTGAAGGTTGAGAATATATGTTACAAAGCAAGTAAATATTTATCTGCTCTTGAAGAACAGTGTTTTGTGGATCTAGTCATGATCTTAGAATACCTGTAAAAAAATATTCTAAACGGATAAGATCGAAGGAATTGCATAGTCCCATATGCACTGGAAATGGGAAAAGAGTATTGTCTTGTAAATGTGCTACTGTGATCACATGGATGGCACACAGGCCTTCAGATCTCTGTGTGAAAATGTGACACAGTCTCTAACTTCCATAGATGATATATTCTCATAAAATGGCCAAAGAAACATAAAACATAGCTAACAGCTGTTATTAGTCACACAGCCTTTCTGTATCAAACACACTAAGACAGCAGTTACGATGAGACATTCAGTTACATGGCCTGGCCATCTGGCTTCCCATTCGTAAGCAGTGGTTAAGAATTCTCAGAGATTCTTTCATGTGGAAAATAATGATGAAATAACATTTTGAAATACAAGACAAACCCTTGCTTTCTATGCAGGTTTCCCAAACATTCGAACCATGTACCTCGGCCCTTCTCAGTTCAGTCTTCTCATTCACTTACTGTTGGCTTTTGGAGGAAGTGTATTATAATTACAAGCATGAAAGATGGGGTAGCTGCTTGCCTGGAAGATGAAGACAACAGTATAGCCTAGTTTTATATTTTGCCATCACACCCAGACAATAGTCAATGTCATGTTTTACTTCACTCATCTTTATAGAACGTTTCATATTCTGTTTAGGTTCAGCAGCTGACCTGTGTAAATCAGCCATGCTGCAGATAGAGCACAAGCTACAAGAAGAGCAGCTGGCTCACGATGCACATCTCCTGCTACAGATACATGATGAGTTGGTGTGGGAGGTGAGCATTGCTCAGCTCCAAAATGTCAGAGGTGAGTCTTGTCGACGGAAGCCAAGACAATGTATCTAAGATATACAGTTCTTCTTATATCAGAAGTGATTAGAGTTATACATGGTGTACACATAAAACATATTGTGGCATGTAGATTTGTTGCTAGGCAACAACCGCGAAATAAGCAATTATGCCACAGCTAAGTAACTGCTCCACAAAGAAGCATGTTTCCATGGCAACAGTTGCACTGCAACAGACAAGGTGTTTTCTATGTGGTGCATGCTGAGAGGTTATAAGCAGGGCCAATTAGCTTTTGGCATCAGTCAGTGAGTCAGAGAACTGCTGCGGTTCAGTTGTTGTGAGCTGTTGCTGTTAGAAGCTGGTAGCTGAGGCCAGGGACAGTTCAGGAACCCAGGGAAAAGGGAATGTCCATCATTGAAAGCCTCTACCAAGCAACGGTTATGAAAATGTGACTGTGGACACTAGTGTGTGTGATAGTGTACTGTAAACTGTAGTCATGCACTGTATCAAAGAGTCCAGTAAATCTGGTCAATCGAAAACCCATCTATACTCATACTCATACACATGACAGTATATTATTTTATTGTATAATTGCTCATTAAATAAAAGGCAGAGGAATGAAAACTGAGTGCGTTTCAGTAGGATATAGAGTCAAGATTTTGTTACCTACATTTTACAGATGTTCGGTGAGGGCACTGAGAGTGGCCCAGTCATATCTGTATTGAATTTCATTGCACATGTTAGGTAAGATGGGGGTAGCAGTAGCTACTGCAGCCCTTATACTCCCATCAAGTTCCTGCATAGTTCTATCCAGTGGCGCCATCCACAGCTCCCTTGATATAATACTGAAGGAAAAAAATTGAGTGGAGTGAGGTCAGGTGAATGATATACCAAGTGACATGCTTGCCACTGCAAATCCATTTCTCAGGAAACTTGCAGATTAAGAAGTCTGTCACTTTCTTGTGGAAATTTATATGTCCTTCATTACTTTGGAACATGTCATTGGGACCTTCTTCAAAAATAGGCTTGAGAAATTCTTCCAACATGCCTAAGTACACTGTGCTAGTTGTTTTATGTTCAGCAAAGAAAAGAGGCTAACATACGAGGGTTGGAACTTTAATAATGGCAACTATTTATTTATAACTGATATAAAATAGATGCATGTTTCAGAGTTTTACTGTCTTTAGTGTAGTCACCAGCATTGTGTACAACCCATTGTCAGTGATGTGGAAGCCGTAGGATACCTTTAGCAGCGCCTGTTGTGTTGATTGTTCGAATGGAGCGGTCTACTGCCTGAAGAATTTCTGGAACAGTTCCGAAGCGAATGCCACGAAGTGGTTCTTTCATCTTAGGGATCAAGTTGAAGTCACAAGGGCTCTCAGGTAAGGTAGGTATGTAACTAACATGTGGTATAAGCAACATTATTTGTTTCCATTGCATGGCATCTCTACAGCAGTGTTGCCACTATTAAGGTTCCAACCCTCGTATTTTATTTGAATGAAGTACAAAACATTTTCAACTTTGGACAGCCTTTCATATGTTAAGTTATTTCATGATGATTTTGGCTTCCCCAGATTCTCGGATTATGTCAGTGAATATTTCCTGATAAATGGAATGTGACTTCATCACTGAAGACAGTTTTGGCTGAAGAAAGGTCAAGTCTTAAGAGATAGTCTCAGCAGTGTGTGTAGCAAACTTCTATATCTTGGGCAGTTACTTGTTACAATAGTTGGTACATATAACGTTTAAATTTCAAGCATTTCTTCAGAATTTTGTGTTCTGTATGTCATGTTTAATTGTCAGGTAATATGCCTGGTTGATTTATGTGGACTGTGAATTAAAGTCACTTGAAATTTGTCCACCTGAGCTACTGTGACTGGTTGTTTTTCAAGGCTTTCTTCACTATAAATGTAGCCAGTGTGTTCAATTTCTGCTCTTAGTAAATTGACGTTTTTAGTGGTTCCCTTCCAAACAACATGAAACCTCCTTTTTACTATAACTTTTGTATAATGAAACTGTAGCACACATTTAGTTGTTTCCACTTGTGACATCATTTTTACAGCTGTGAGTGTAGTGTTTCAAGTGGAATGATTTGGAAACTTAGGTGGCACAAATTAGAAACTTGATCGTACAATGTACTCAGGTATGTTTATTTTTTGTTCCTTGCCTTTAATTTCATGAGCAGTGTTACAGTAAAGTGGTATATACATGGTGTCCAGATGAAAGGCATCCAAAATAAAATAATTATGTCTCATAAAGCTTTTATTACACACATTTATGGGTTACATCACTACAAAAGAAACTATCAAAGTTCTTCCTGAGTATATAACTTTCTCAGTAAATTTCAGTGTGGGCTCCCTTGGTGGCATGACAGATATCCAGATGATCCAGCATGTTTGGTGTTCCCATAGCCACAGTGCCCCTTATGCAGCCTTTCAGGTGTTGCAAGTCGTTGATCTTAACCTGGTAGACAATGTTCTTCACATAACCCCACAAGAAAAAATTCAGCGGAGTTAAATCTGGCGACTAGGAGGCCAAGCAATTGATCCACTTCTGCCGATCTGTCTCCCAGCCATCTCTCTGCCAGGTGATTCCTAACATGGTGGCAGAAATGTGGCGGTGCATGCGTGTAAGCGGGGTATGGGAGAAAAACTTACGGGGTTTTCCTTTCTGATAACATAAACTGGATACATGTATGATAATTACTTTCCAAGATATAAATTGTTTTATTTTGGATACCTTTCATCCAGACACCAGATATGTCATGTGTACATCCCATATATACAATAAAGAACAGTGGTAAACATTTAGAAACATTGAAAGTTCTAATTGCTAAAGAAACCTATAACTTAAGGTAGGAGGAAACTTCATTTAATTATTACCAAGCAGAAGAGACTTGAGTAGTGTTCAGGCTGTTTCAGAGATAATTATTGATAGCTGAATGTACAAGTTCTGAAATGTAAGTATAACATCCTTCTGGTTTAATTGTCTTGAAAACTGTAAGCATTAATAGCTTTGTTTTTAATTGTGCTTTAAAATTACTTGTTTCTTGTGTCCTTGCTGGGCTACTCACTAGTGAAGAAGGAGTTTACATGATGTTTCTCTTCTGTATTTTCTAGGTATAGTGAAGACAGTGATGGAACAGAGTAAATCACTTTTTGGGCTCTCAGAAAAATTTTCTGTCCCATTGCCTGTTCTCATTTCCACTGGAGAAACCTGGGCTGACATGACGCCTTAACCTGTCAGTGACTCAATAACCTTGACATAAATGAAGTTATATGTTCTCAAGCTTCATTGTTTATCTTCATCATCATAATAATTTTGCCTAGTTGGTCTGCACAGTAAAATGTTATGTTCTGTGTCATATGCCAGGCACAGCTTCATATTACTACTTTCATTGTTATGTACAGAAAGTTTTACAGAGCTGAATATCACAGCATTTTGGATGAAGCTGATATACAGGGTGTTTCAAAGTTCTAGCTCAATATTTAAGGAAGTTTTGGGGGCGAACATTTGGAGCTGAAAATGTAAATAAAATGTTACCACCATTAAGTAGTAACACTTTTATGTTGGTGTTTCCTTGTATTATTGTGATTTAAAATTTTTAACAATTAGAAACAGTTCTTTTTAACATGATATGTCACATGATCTCTTTATTTGTAGTTAAGAAAAAGCAAATTCTGTCCTTTGTACCATTTTTCATTTGTCACTTCAGAGTAGCTCTTCTTGTGTACATTCTGTTCTTGTCAGGAAATGTACTGTATGTCAAAGCAAATGTTCAGAGTGGCCTCCCTCCTCCTGAACACACACCACACAGAGCCATCAGATTGAGCCCCCTTGCAGCAACTAATTGTCTAAGTTGATTCCTAATGTTTTTAGTAGTTACCTTATTGTGATTAATTAGATTATCATGATTCTGAACTTCCATGGCATAAACTATTTCCTTCACGCATTCCCACAACTTAAAATCTGTGTGTGTGGGGGGGGGGGAAGCCAGAGATAAGTGGATGATGGAGGCCAGGTGACTGCACAGTTGAACTGCCCAGAACATTTTTGTGAAGCTTATTGTGCACTTGATATGAAAAATGGGAGGGACACCATAATTTTGAAACCACGTGCTCTTTTGCACCTGTGGAAGTACATCTTTTGATAAAAGTTGAAGTATTTCTTCGAGGAAATTGACATAATCTGGTCCACTTAGAGTAGCCTAAATATCCTATATTACGTATGGTCTGATCACATAATCTTTTGCAAATCTAGCCCACAGCAAAAACATCATTCTGTCAGGTGTTGTTATGGTGTCATGTCATTTCTTGGTGGTTTTCCTAAATCTCTTTTCCCCCCAGGCTTATGTTGTTATTACTTCCATAAAGCATTCATTGTTATCATGGTGAAGCTTTGTTGTTTTTGAGCTATGGAGAGTACTACCTACTGTGATGTAACAATGTAGTTCAGTAGAAGTTTGTATACTGGCACCATCTTCAGAATTAAAGAATAAGCAGGAAATGATCAAGAAGCAGACTTGCTGTTCCTATAAAACATCAGTGAACTTCTACAAAACTACATCCCACAAGGAAGTACTCTCTTGATGTCCAGAATAATAATTAGCTCAGAATGCAGTACCAGATGTTAAAGTATAATGTCTAACAGCATTTTCCACAGTCCCATTGTATTTATGAATCACATGGGGTGAATGTATTTATTGACTGCTTATACACATGACTCAGAACTACAAGCAATTACAGTGCTATCACTGATCTACACACTTTACAAATCACTGCACTAAGCCTCAGTCTTTTATAGTCTTTCCTACTCATTGCTTGGTAACAGCTCTCAGTAATGGAGATTCTTCAACTTATGTGCTCATGCTATTGCCTGTTCGCTAATACTACTCACAACTGAACTAATTGCTTCAACTGCCCTGGTTATAACATCTCAGCAAGGACCACATAGAAAACATCCCATTTCCAACAGTAACTATTGTTGCTTGTGTATTTGTTGCTGCGGGAACATGTTTCCCAAGCTGTTGCCCAGAAACGTTCATTGTTTAGAGAGTCACCACTTAGCAACAGATCTGTATTCCATGTAGCTCCCTCCATAAGACTGTTTGTCCCAAATGGCCTACAGGTATACCACCATTTCTCCTCTTTTAAGTGCTGTAATTGGTCTCACCTTCCTCTCTGAAGCTCGGTTTTCATGGTGTTTGTTCTCCAACTGCTCCCACTGCACCCTCCTTAAGGCACTTGACCCATGCGGCTCCCTAATAAGGTTCAAGTCAGTCCAGGTGTATCACCATCATCCTGTTTTTCTGATTGGTGGTGGCTAAAGTTCCAAGAATGGTCAGTGCTCCTACATCCATTGCTCTTGATCTGCTGTTAATGGCTTCTTTTGTTTTGGAGAGTGGCTGACCCTTTCACAGTGTTCTGACATTCATATTTTGAATACTGACTGCAGACCCGACTGTTCACTTCATGATCTCCAGCCCACTGGTTTTCCCGAAGATGCTGCTGGATGTGCTCTCCTTCCTCAGACTAGTAGCTGGATTGCGCCTCAGTCCCTTCTTGCATTGATACCTTCCGGTTTCACCTGAAATCTCTTGCTGAATATTCGTCCTTTCTGGGTTCCTTGTGTAAGATTGTCCTTGCCTGGTCCCTGATGACCCTGTCCCTTCTGCGATGCAGGAATGACATGGTGGGTCATCCTTCTGTGGGTGGCAGTCGGCTTCTTCCAGGATCCAACATATCCCTAGGTCCATTTCTTCAGCTGACTGTGAGACCTTATAGCTAGATGGCAGTCCCTGTTCTCCTACTCTAGTGCTCCAAAAGTTGCCACTGCAGTCTGCTCCTTAGGGACCTCATCTATAAGCCCCAGTATTATTTGTAGCTACAGGGTCACCACATTGTGTTTACACATATAATTTTAATCAGCAAGAAAAAATTAATAAATCATAGTATATAATCAAAGTGGGTGTATACATGTATGTGTTATGTCTCATTAGTGTGTCTGCAGTAACTGACCCCATGGTACAAGGTCTTCATTGAAATACTGGTAGTTACTGAGATGGTAAAGAAATTGTTTGCTTTTGTGGAAACCAGTTGTTCTTTACTGTGCAGTAAACTCTGAAGTAATAACACAAATCCATAAACACAGTAAAGTCAACCATTCAGAAGAAATGTGCAGAATATAAGCTAAAGCAGAGATAAAGAATTTGCCCTTTTTCCATTTACTGTTCCATGAAGGTGTGTAAATCTGCATATAATTTGTACTGTGGCATTAAGTAGGTGTGTTCCTTTTGAATTGTTCCTGATGTTCTGAAATACTTGCATTATGCTGGTTTACAAGGATTTATAGGCGGTTGTCCTGCTTATAATTCTTATAATTTTGCATATTCTCTTTGACCAACTGAATAGGAATCTTTTTCTGCCAGTATTAGTATTCATTCATTCATTTATTTATAGTTCCAAAAAAATCCATAGAGGCATCTGCCTCAGATATAGAACAAGTCAATAATACAATATAGCATATAAATATACATACATAATCAGATAGTCATCATCGTCAAAATTTAAATATTCAATACAACAAAACTACTGTACAGCAATACATTCCATATATCAAAATAACATATAAAATTACATATACGATCAAAGACCACCAAGATCCTTAATATAGTAATATAAAATCTATTTTCTTAATATATAATACACCTGTATCATAACAGTAATAGCACATTTTTCCTGAGTATTTATTCCATAGTCCATTGCATTCTAGCAATAGGCAACAATGTATAAAAAGGCTTTCAAAATAATCTTGTAAGAGCATTGCAAAATCTTTATTTGAAATGTCAACAGGACTACAAAAGTTGGCATGATGATAGCAGAAATCAGCCAAGATGTATGAAAACAGTGGTCATGTTCACCCATATTATACTGTATTTATTGAAAAAAAAAATGTATGCAGATGGCTGAACACGTTGTGGATGGAGTTTATCTTACCACCTTGTTATTTTTCGATGATCAAAGGCAAATCGTAACAAACCGTCTATAAATTACACAACACTAGAGCAGTATGACTTAAACATGTCCCTAAAGAAAATAGATGTGACAGAACAAGTTAGTACCCTTAATTTTTGGGTTGTGAAATATCTTATACAACTAGTAAGAATGTGGATGAGGAAATAGTTTCTGCTTCCTTTATGGCAGTGTAAAGCATACATTAGGTACATACATACATAGCTTCACAGATCTGTTGCCCGTATTGGGCTGGATATTGAGCTCGTCAGATTAATTAAAAGTAGTTGCGATATGCAACCAAGTCCAAATAGACACAACCTAGATACAATAGGAATATAATACAATTAGGTATTTGCCATATATTCATCAATAGAATAGAAAGCTTTCAAGATAAGAAAGTCTTTTAGTTTTCGTTTAAATAAATTAACATTATCCTTTAAAATATATAATTTATGTGGCAAATTATTAAAAAATTTTATGGATGTATAATACACTCCCCTTTGTATAATGGATAGTCTAGCTGACGTGACGTGTAGTCTATTTTGTACTCTAATGTTAATTTTATGTACATTATTATTTATAGGATAATTATTTTTGTTTTCAATTACAAACGTGACCATGGCATATATAAAGAAACAGGAAACTGTAAGTATCCCTAATTCTCTGAAAACCTCTCTACAAGAACTTCTAGGCCTCATCATTAACATTGCTCTAATTGCTCTTTTCTGAGCCACAAAAACTCTTTTCATTGATGATGAAGAAGAGCCCCAGAAAATAACACCATATTTAATTTGAGCTTGACAGTAAGCACAATAAGCCATTTTCAACACTTGCCTACTTACTATAGGCTGTAGAGTGTAAAATGTATGCAAGGAAATACTGTTAAGCCTATACAAGGTAATGGACAGCCTACCATTTTTGTACTGTGCAAACACTGGACAATGAGAGCAGATGAGAAGAACAGAAGCACGTGAGTTGCAATTCTTGAGATGCGTTGCTAGTTTTGCACTTTTAGATTTAAGATTAAGAAATAAATCAGAGAAAGTTTAAAATGCGTAGTATCTGTGAAGCAATTGAGCTTTATAGAATGGGCAGGAGAGATCACATGTTGAAAATGCCTGACAGCCATTCAGCTGAAACTGTAACTGCAAGTGAAGAGGACACCTTGCAGGTGAGAGACTGAGGAAATGATTGCAGAAATATAATGACATTGGAACAGGCCAAAAATGGACTTGATCACTGTAGATTTTGATTTTGTGCAATAATATAGTTACCAAATATGAACATTTCCTTAGTTTTAAGCTCACTGATACTTTCTTTGTTTTAAGAAAAAGTACTGAAGTTTATAGATCACCATTTTCTATATGTTTTCACCTGAAAGGACACCATTTCGGATTTTGCAAAAGGTGCTTGAACAAAGATGATGAACTTCTCATGTTCTTTCTGACTATATGGCCATAAGTAACTCAACATTTCATCACCTGGGACTTTGTTTTATGGAACCATGCAACTACTTAGATGCCCTATTAAGCAAAATACTACTCTTTATTCAGAGGGTAGGATTGTTATGGGCTAACTAAGGGGATACAGAGTTTATCATAGGTGTCACAGCATGAGGCCACTTTTGCCCACCCCTTGTGCATTTATCCATCTTCCCACCCACTCACCTGCTTAGCATCCTCTCTTTTACAACTTTGTAGTCAGTTGTGCAGTTTTCACATAATTTGGTATGAACATTATGCAATCAAAGGTCACTTCAACTTCCTCCTTCAGTTCCTAGAATCAGTAATAACAACATGGCATACTTATGAACTTGTCAGATGGGAGTACCGTTTAATGTATGGTCCTCAAATTTTATCTGGTAATAGATCTTTGAAAAATATATGTTACTTTTTTAAAAGTAGTATTTTTGTGTTGGAAGATTATACCGGTCGCAACATAATCATAAATTTTGTGGTTTCTGCATTCTTCCTTATTGTTTGCAGTTTAAAGTAATAGTATGATTACTGTAATTGCTACTACCAGAACGCCTTAAATTATTAATCCTGCTTATGTAAGGCTGTCAAACATGACGTTCATGTCTTGTGCTCATCTTTGATGTATCTGTACATTACATTTATTTTATGTGTTTTTAGTTTCTCTTTTATTCACATAGCTTGTATTTTAATTGGATTTAATCATTTGCCTTCAATGATGTGTTTTAGTTTTAACTGACCAACAGGAAGGTTTGGACAAAAGATCATGTATTTATTAGCAACACTGTTCTTTTCTGAATTTTGGTACTGTGTGCAGCTGGATTTTTCTTGCTTCAGACTTTTGGTCATTATTGATTCAAATTCTGTTTCTCCTCACATTCCTTTCAAACTAAGTAAATCTTTCACTCACCGAGGCAAGGGGCCATCTTGAGAAGCTTAATAATCACCCACATATAAAATTCCCCACCTGTCATGGAACCTAAAGATTAATTATCACATACATGAGAGCCAGTTCCTTGCCCATGGCCAGAACTACATAAATGCAGGCCACACTCTCCCATCCTAATTCTTAAGATCCATTTTAGTATCTTATCATCCATGCTTAGGTCTTACAAGTTATCTCTTCCATTCATATTTCATGACTGGAGTTTGCATGACCCATTCATCTCATCCTCCCTGATTTTGATCATCCTAATAATATTTGAAGAGTGGATGTGATGCTGTGTAGTCTGGTAGATTTTTGCCAAATCTTAGAGGACTGTATTGCCTCCAAATTCAGGGTCAAGAGTAAGCTGAGTGAGTAGTCAGCTAGCAGACACATTTACTTGCTGCTTGCTGTTTGCTTGCCTGGCTTCTGTATGTTTATTGCTGTGAGAATCTCAACTCTTGCTAATAAAATTCTCTGAAGAGAACAAATTATGATGCTCATTATGCAACTTTTCCAGTCTCCCATTTCTTCCCCTTTCATAGGCCAGATATTCACCAAAGTCCCTTAATGTTAGAGCCTAAGTTTCACATCCATAGGAAACAAGAGATAAAATTATGGCTTTGCATGATTAGTATTGATATTGTTAGATAACACATAGCAGATGGAAGATAAAAGATTCTGAACTAAGCAAGTATTTAGTCACAAGCATTCCCCAAATTTAATCTACTTCTAATTCTCTTGCAAATGCAATTTTGATATGATACTGTCATTCCCAAGTGCTTAAATTTTCGTATTTCTGAAGTCTGATTACACAATCACAGTGGCCACATGGTCTAAGGCATGAAGTCTTTGACCACTCAAACACTTAGGTCGTTGGTTCGAATCCCACTCGAAGCATTGATGTCTGTGGGTTTATTTTGTGTACGTGTTTTATTGTGTATAGGTAGAGTCCTTGCAACAGGCTGATCCCCCATCCAGGGAGTCATACTGACCACTACTTACTGTGTATAGGATTAAGAAACTGAAAAGTAGCCAAGGCCAAACAAAGGGCTGAAGAGCCATAGATAAAGTTGTATTTATTTTAGGATTTTGTGCTGAATTGTGATGATAAGATATGAACATATTTAATTTTCTCTCTGATTGCTTCAAAACCAACTGATAGCTTCTAACAGAGCTTCTGCTTTCTTTGTGATGTTTTGTGTTTTTCTCATTAAATTAGCATCATCATAAACTAGTAGTTTGAGTGTCCCATTCCATTAAAACCCATCCCTGTTTTCTTACATCTTCCAAACATGGTAAAGGCAAAACAGTTGTTTCATGTCATTGTGACTATGAAATGTATCTGATAGATGTTAACCTACATGCACATCACAAAAATTTCCTTTAAAAACATTTTAATTACCCTAATTAGTTTCATGGATATATTAAATTCAGTGATAATATTGTGCAGTATTTTCCTCCACACTGAAATAATATTTTGAAGCCCTGTAAATATTTAACAATTCAGCCAGGGGTATAAATAGCCTTTTGGAACTAGGTATATGTTCCAAATCAGTAGAAAAGCTCGTAGGAAGGGCCATCATGTTTTCAAAGGACATGACTGCAATGTAGGNTGAACTGAACGGTGTTTGAAGAAGTTTTTCAATCACACAGTGGTTATCACATGAAAGTGTCATGTTTCTATTTTTAACTTAACAGCAATCACAAAAACACTGGTCATAAAGTTATAATTACGCAAAGCAAAACAAATTCTGTATCGAGAAAAATACAGAATAATAACTAAACTGACTTGTGCATAAATGAGACGCTAACACCTTCTGAAAACTAATACACACGCTTAACTGCCAGGTCACAGACTATTCTACTGCACTCTACTGCGAACTGCAATGCCTTACATCTGGCAACATTGCTGGAAGCACGAAGCTAGTAGCATACCATAACGGATAGCTCACTTACAGACAATATTGACATTGGTCAGCCAGTTAACACAGGGGAGGGTGGAAGCGAAAGACCTGCTGCTTCCGCGCGTGTTGCAATTTGAAGTACCCTGCATTTTTGAAGAAAATAACTGATCTATCCTGATAAATT